AATTTAATTATCGATTGAATTTATTTCAAAAATTTGTAATATATTTTTAATAATAATAATTATTATTAAAATAAACAATATATATTAAAATTTTAAATATTATTAACATTTAATTGCAAACTATGGTTATGTTCAATAAAAAGTTACGGCGCATAATAAATTTATAATAAATACAGTAAATTGTATATCAATAGTTGTTCTCATTTAATTGACAGGATAATCTCTTTTAGATTATTCATTCACTTGTCTATGGTATTATTTAATCAGCAGCCTCCAGATTAATATGAATATACCTCTTTAATATATTTATAATTGTAGAACATTTGAAATTATTATTATAATATATTTAAAGATAACATGTTTATTTCCTTTTCCAACTTTATCAACTAAAATTTTAGTCTATGCAACGTGTCAAAACCTTCAAAAACTCCAAGTTAGTGGAAGTCAGGTGTCAATGAAAGGGTTCGGATTTTCAGATAGTGGAAGACAAGTGTGCAGCGCTAAGTGGCCGATCGGTTTTAGTGACGGTAGTATTTAAGGCGAAATTTCAAACTTCGTGCCACTTTTCTGCATGCACCCTTCATCTTCAACCTCCCGAACCTCCATTTTCTCTTATTTCTCTATACAATCTCCATCTTCTCTCTACGATTTCTCATCCTTTTCTTCTTCCGATCATCATTCAGGCAACGTCTGAGTATTCTTGGTGCCAAGAGCAACACTTTGCACCGATCAAGTTGTGCTTTAAGCTGGTGAGTACTTCTCTTTTTAGACCGTTCGTTTTCTGTCACATGCAAATCCAAATTCTGATTGCATGAGTTTATCATTTCATTCTAATAGCAATTTTGGTCTTGTATTTGGTTTAGTTTTTAAATCAATAAGCTCTAAGTGTATAAGACTGGTAGTGGTGAACCATATATTGCATCTGTGAGCATTCGGCTACGTTTAGAGGTAAGGGAAGCTTATATAATTTGATTATGATTTCTTATTCTGAATGGTTGTATATTGGGTTGATCCATGGATGAATAAGTGTTGTTTTCAGTACATGTTTTGTATATATAAGTGTATGAGTTACAAATGATGTGAACTGGCTGATATAGGGTTTGCTCTTCTGTATCTAGAATTCTGTATAATCCTGTGGTTGTCACCGAAAGTCATTATTGACCGTTTAGTTTTACTTTGAGTATTCGGTCTGTACTGGATTCTTCTTCTGTGGAGAATTTCAGTTAAGGACCGATAGGTTTTCTCTTAGTATACTGATAAGTAAACGTTCGGTCTAAGTATAGTTTTCCCTTTAGGCTTCCTAAACAGTTTAGTTAATGTATTCTATAGTACTTACAGTTGTAGATGTTACCTTTATCCTTCATTGAAAATAAGTGTAGTGTAATTGTGTGTGTGTGTGTGTGTCTATATATATATATATATATATATTCCTTCACTTTGATTTAAGTTCAGTAGTGCTCGATCTTGAACCAAGCGCTCGGTTTCAGTAGTACTCAGTTTTGAACCAAGTGCTCGGTTTCAGTAGTACTCGGTCTTAAACCAAGCGTTCGGTCTCAGTAGTGCTCGGTTGTGAACCAAGCGCTCGGTCTTTATAGTGGTTGGTCTTTAACCAAGCGCTCGGTATTTTTATTATACCCCATTGTGTACTCTATTTGAACTAAGAGTGTTTGGTCCAAGTCAATAGTATTCAATTAAATTTTGTAGGGTTCGGTTTAAGTTCTCAGATTCCAGCAATAGTTCTTATGACATTCAGTTAAGTCTAAATTATATGTAAAATATTTAGTATTCGGTACATTCTTAGGAGTTCAGTCTAGTAAAATACTGTTCTGTAGTAATTATTGAGTAGTAAGTAAAAGTCCAAATACTCTCACTAGTGTTCGGCTTATGATGAGTTTTTATCTAGAATGGACCGTTCGGTCCTATACGGTGTATAAGTGGAAGATCGCTCGGTCTTGCACTAAGTATTCAGCTGTGTTAGTCTAAAAGGTATTCAAAACGTTCGGTCTTGTCTCTGGGGAAATGTTATTGTTCAATTTTGATTTCAGATGGGAGATGTTTGTATTGGTTTGGTTTGATTGTATTATGGAATATAAATGGAATGATATGGAAATGAAAGAGTATTCCAGGGAGGAATATTTCATGAGTGATTATTGAATGGTAGAGTATGAATGTGGTTATGTTCAGCTGACGGTTATCCTGATATTCTGTGATTACTCATTCTTAAGTAGAGAAGAGTAAGTCATGTGTGAGAATGACAGGAGGTCATAGTGCATAAGGTGAACTTGGACGGAATGGACTAACCTCGGGTGACAGCTGTTGAGGGCATCCCAAATATTACATCACCCGGGTGCAAAAACGTCGTAGCTACACAGAATTCATACAATCCAGACAGTCAGAGTAAAATGGTCGATCATTGCATGCTTTGACGTGAATTTTGATTGGAAGTGCATGATTGGATGTTACACGATTGAATAGTGAATTATGCTAGATTTATGTGAAGTTTAGGTTTTACTGAGTTAATTAAATTACATAAGCTTACCCTATTTTCTGTCTTGTCTGTTTTGTCCGTTCGGTCATTATTTTTTGTTGCAATGATCATCCTATGGATGTGAGCAGAAGGAGAAGAGTTGCTGGAGGAGGCCCTGGAAGAAGTGGAAGTGAAAGCCGAACCATAGGACCGGTCAATCATTAGGTTTGGTCTTATTTTGTATAACCGATCGGTATTAGCGTAGTTTAGGTAACCGTTCGGTCTATACTGTAGTTCTGTAAAGGTTAAATTCTGTAGTATTTTCGTAAGGCCGTTCGGCCATAACTGACTCATTATTCTCATAATTGAACTGTAATATTGTTAATATGTGAATATTCTATAGTATGGTTTATACTGTATTTTTGGAATGTTACACAATGAATAAGATAATAATTTATTTATTTAAATATATATTTTATTTTATTATTAAAATTAAAGTAATAAATATTTTTCAATATATAAATTATATTTCAAATTTATGAAAATTTGCTACAATAGAAGGTTCTTTCTTTAAATATGAAAATTTAATTCAATCCAAAAATAATGAAAAAATAAAATATATATTCTGTTATATTAGCATACACATATGTACAAAAGTTTTCAAAAGCACTTCAAGCCTTTGTTGGTTGTGTTGAATTGCTTTTAATTATGTGTTTAACGTAATCAAATCTATTTAATTCAATATTTAACTTGACCTGAGTGAATTGGAATCTTTTATGTAAAAAAAGAGAGTTTATTTTCACAATCTTTAGAGAGAAAAAAAGAGAAAATTTATAAAAATATTCATTGAAGTGTCTTAATAAAATTGTAATTCTCGTTTTGTTCACTGTTAAATTGAATTAAAATTTGTATAAAAGGTTCGCAACAAACGATTCTTTATTTTTATCATTGAAATATTTAGTTAGATGTTTGTTATTAAAAAAATTTAGTCTTACATTGTTACTTTATTTTAGGTTTCTTTTTCTTTGTTATTCATATTTGAAAACATAATTGATATTTGAAAACATAATTGCTTTAATGTATTGATTCGTTATAAACATTTGGTTTTACTCTTGATATGATTATTTGTATTTATATTGATCTTAATAGAGCTTGATTTACTAGCTTGTGCTCCTAGATTTGTACTTTTTACATTGACAGGATTTTCCTACACTAAAAATATCAATATTCTCTTTTGTAATTATTATTGTCATTTTTATTATTGTTTCTCATTTAATGTTTCTAGAAATTATTCTATCAAGTTATATAAGCTTTCCAAATCATGAAACCTTATTCTACCAACATTACAAACCATCCAAAAACGAAAGAGTCAGTGAAGTCGGTAACTATAATTTGTCATAATAATAATGGTGATATTTATATTCTTCTTTATACTCAGATTCTACAAAAATATATTTATGAATAAAATAAAAATATTTAAATTCAAATTATAATATTATTATTTATTCATGTAAAATTTATTTTTAATTCTTCAGGGTTTGAAAAATAATTTTTTAACCATACTCCAAATCGATGCAGTATATCTATCTTTTCGTTTTAGAAGTTATTATAAAAAATGCTACTTTTTTTTTAATTATATAACAATGATAAAAATCTTTTAATTATTCCTGCATGAATATTGCCAACAAAAATACATAAATGCGAAAGATAATAATTTAATTATTAGTTAAGAATAAAAATGGTTATTTTACGATTGAACAAAGCCCCAATAAACTTTGTTTCACTTTTTAATTTTGAAGATCATCATGTTTTCACTAATTAAAATTATATTTTATTTCTATAATTACATCTCCAATAGAAAAAAAAGAACACCTAAATAACTATTGTAAACTTTACTCAAACAGTTAATGGTAGAAAAGACAAAACCAAAGTAAAGAAAGGGAAAAGAAAAAAATAAGAATTAAATTATTTAATGGAAAAAAAGTAAAGAACTATTTTAGAATTATCTGTGTTCTAATTCTTCTACAATAAGCAATTATTTTCATGTAACAAGAATGAGTTTCTTCTTTAATCCAATAAAAACCTTAACCTTATGCCACATTACATAGACAAGTTCTAAGAAAAGTTGAAAAGTATCTTCCCAATTACTATAATTACCAATAAAACCAAAAACAAAAGCTTTCTTTTCACATTAAATGAAGTATTAATCAGAAAATCAGGTCACCATTTTCAGAAAATGAAATAAAGAAAAGAGGAAAAGCGAAACCCATGAGCCACAGTGGTTTGTGGTTTCTGGTTTTTGGTGGTGGGGGAAAAAGAATATTACAAAAAAACCCCACTTTGCTCAGATACATTGCATGTAGGAAACCGTTCAGTGTACGGGAATCTCTTTCCCTTTCCAATAAAAGCCTCCCTTTTCCCAGACACTAACCCTTCATTTTTTCTTCAAACCCCTTTTTTTCTCATCTCTTCTCTCTCTTTTTTTTGCCCTATCTCATAGGGTTCCTGCGATCTTCACCTTCAGACGACTTCCTTTTTCTCATGCGTTCTTGCTCTCATCAATCACACAACGCCATAGCTCTTCTTCTTGTTGCTGTTTTCTTCTTCGCTCTCCTTTTTGCTCTCGTTCGAGGGTTCTTTCGTGTCGAACGTTGTGGGGTTCTTCACCCGGCTTTTATTCACCCGTACCCATGTCTAAAGTTCTCGGCTTTTCCGGTGAGTTCATTTAATCAGGCTGTTTTTGTCCTCTTTGTGTTATGGGGTTTTGATTTTGCCCCAACTTTTTTGGAGATTAGTTTTTATGTTGGGATTTTGAGGTGCGTAGAACGTTTCTACTTTGTGTGATTAAGGCTAGTTTTTAATTTTTAGGGGTTAAAATTTAATGGGTTGGTCTTAGTTTTTGTTAATTTGTTATGGGCCATGGATGATCACGTGGTTGCGTTGGGTAAAAGGTGTGGACTTTTGAATTGGGTGATGAAAGTCGTTTTGTATGGTAAAAGTCGTTTTGATTGCTTAGAGAATCTGGTAGTAAACGTAAAAATATTCGTAGTTTAATTGTTTACTAGAGATTGAGGTAATTAATCCAGGTAGGAAATTGTTTGAAGGATTTTTTGTTGGAACTTTGGATCATGTTTTGTAGTATGTTCAACCGATGGTCCTTTTTGTTTTAGTTTGTTTTTATGTTTAAAGTTGATCCGAAACTGGTTTTGTTTTCAAAGGATAAACGGGAACTATGTTGTTGTAGTGGTTGAATCAGCATGTTTAACTTTGTTTATATGGTGAAATTTGTGTTTTTCTGAGTTTGTGCATACATTTGGGTTATCAGGAGGTGATGACTTTTGCTCTGGGGGATCAATCTACGCCAACCCAAAGGAAGCGAGTTTCTTCCTTCCCCTTGGCCCTCAAGTTGATGTATACTTTCCTCCCAGGAAGAGATCACGCGTCAACGCTCCATTCGTTTTCGATGGAGAATGGTTTGAGCAAAAGCAGAAAACCTCTATTGAAGCCTTACCAGATGAGTGTCTCTTTGAGATCTTCAGAAGGTTGCCCGCTGGCGAGGACAGGAGTGCATGTGCTTGCGTTTCCAAGCGCTGGCTTATGCTTCTGAGCAGTATTTGCAAAGATGAAATCTGTGCCATGAAAAACACCAGCGCAGAAAACATTGAAAAGGATGGTTATGATGTAGAATTTGGAGGTGAGGGATACCTCTCTCGGAGCTTGGAAGGAAAGAAGGCCACGGATGTTAGACTGGCTGCCATAGCTGTTGGAACTGCATCTCGCGGAGGGTTGGGGAAGCTTTCCATCCGAGGAAGCAACATGTGTCGTGGGGTTACTAGTCTTGGTCTCAGGGCAGTTGCTCATGGATGCCCTTCTTTGAAGTCTTTTTCTCTATGGAATGTTTCTACTGTTGGTGACGAGGGCCTAATCGAGATCGCTAACGGTTGTCACCAGCTAGAAAAGCTCGACCTTTGCAAGTGCCCTGCTGTTACTGATAAGGCTTTGGCTGCAATTGCAAAGAACTGCCAGAATCTGACCGAGCTTTCGTTGGAATCGTGCCCTAATGTTGGTAATGAAGGTCTGCGAGCTATTGGGAAGTTCTGCCCCAACCTAAGATCCGTAACCATCAAGGACTGCACAGGTGTTAGCGATCAGGGAATTGCTGGATTGTTTTCAACTTCTTTGGTTCTGACGAAGGTGAAGCTCCAAGCACTGTCTGTGTCAGATCTCTCTCTAGCCGTTATTGGACATTATGGGAAGTCTGTTACTGATCTTGTCCTTAATTGCCTCCCAAATGTCAGCGAGAAGGGGTTCTGGGTAATGGGAAATGGTAGTGGGTTGAAGAAGCTGAAGTCACTCACAGTTGCATCATGCAGGGGAGTAACCGATATTGGACTTGAAGCTGTAGGAAAGGGTTGCCCAAATCTGAAAATTGCACACCTTCACAAGTGTGCCTTTTTGTCAGACAATGGGTTGATATCGTTTGCCAAGGCTGCTTCATCACTCGAGAGCCTTCGATTGGAAGAGTGCCACAGAATCACCCAATTTGGGTTTTTTGGTGTCCTTTTTAACTGTGGTGCAAAATTGAAGTCCATCTCTTTGGTGAGGTGCTACGGAATCAAAGACCTGAATTTGGTGTTGCCGACCATTTCTCCTTGTGAATCCCTTAGATCATTGACCATCTGCAACTGCCCTGGATTTGGCAACGCCTCACTCTCTGTACTGAGAAAGCTGTGCCCTAAGCTTCAGCATGTTGAACTAAGTGGACTCGATGGAGTGACTGATGCCGGGGTTCTTCCACTGCTAGAGAGTTCTGAGGCTGGTTTGGTTAAAGTGAACCTCAGTGGCTGCACAAATGTCACAGACAAAGTAGTTTCATCCTTGGCCAACCTTCACGGTTGGACTCTTGAGAACCTAAACCTTGATGGTTGTAGAAACATCAGTGATGCTAGCTTGATGGCAATTGCTGAAAACTGTGCATTGCTATGCGATCTTGATGTCTCCAAGTGCTCAATCACAGATGCTGGGATAGCAGCCCTGGCACATGCCCAACAGATTAATCTGCAAATTCTCTCTTTGTCAGGTTGCGCTTTGGTCTCAGACAGGAGCTTGCCCGCCTTGAGAAAATTGGNTCTGCAAATTCTCTCTTTGTCAGGTTGCGCTTTGGTCTCAGACAGGAGCTTGCCCGCCTTGAGAAAATTGGGCCGGACCCTTTTGGGACTGAACATCCAGCACTGCAATGCAATTAACAGTGGCACCGTTGACATGCTTGTAGAGCTTCTCTGGAGGTGTGACATCCTCTCGTAAAGATGGAAGAATTAACCTCACACAGCAATTTAGGCCAGGATCACATCATACAGGAAGCTTGTTATGCTTAGTGTTGCACAGTAGTCTTTTCTAGGTTCCATTAACAGGTCTTCATCATCATCATCATATCCATCATCCAGCTACTCGGTTCCCTTTTTCCGGAGTGTGCAGTCATTTAACCCCCATTTTTGCAGGTTCCTTCAACGGCACCTGTTCTTTTTTGGCATCCATTGCCACCTTTTAAATGGCTGCATGTCTCTGAGAACATAGCTACCGGGTTCTGGAGTTAGCAATCTTTGTTACTGGTGTTGGCACCTGATGTTTCAACCTCAGCTTTGCATCGGTTTTGCCACCATGTGTGTCCTAGTTTTTTTTCTAAGTTTTTACGGTCACTTGTATCACTCTCCCAGTCCTTGTTTACCAAATGTTTCTGTGTTTGAACTATGTTCTTCACACGATGTTTGGGTATCATCAGTTTCATTCGAAGAGCAGGTTAGAAGCTCCCAGACTATATAGTTGCAGTTGTCAAGTTTGTTGTTATGAAGTCTTTTCTTAAGGGCTTGGCTGTGGCAGCAAGTAATACAGGTCTGCCATAACCACAACCTTTTTTCCCTCTGGGAAGGGTTGTTTTTTACCAAGTCCTAGTTTTTTAAGGCTTTATTTTTTTTGAACCTGGCACTGCAGCTACTACTTTAGTCAATGGTGTTCGTGTCTGCCCTTTTTGCTGTATCTTATGAAATGTAATAAAATAAAAATCAGTCTCATTTTGAGGCAAAAAAAAATCATGTGTTGATGTCTCTCAGCCCTTTGATCATATCCTTTTTACCAGTTCATGAAGTCATCTTTATTCTAGCGGACAAGCAACCTTTGATACATCTAGATCTCGTGAATAGATTTAGCAACCTGTGAACGAGATTCCTGCATAGTTAGACTGTGAAAGGATAAATGCCATGAACTTCTGTGATAACACTGGGGGATGAGATTCCTTTTTGTGCAGTGTTTGGAGAATGCAAGTGAAATGAAAGGAGACATAAAATATAAAATAAAGCAAAAGAGAAGAGATAAAGGAAGGGATATTTTTTATTGATAAAAAGGAAAATGGCAAAAGAATAATATAAAAAAGAATATCTTTAATATTAATGATACAGATATTTTGAAATGTTAGATGAAACTACTCTTGCTACTTTATAACAGTGAAGTAATTTCAGTTGAGAAATTTGAAGGAGTTGAGAATTTGAGGGAGATATGATAAAATATAAAAAATAGAGAAATAAAGGAAAGAGATATGAGAAAAATATAAAAAGAATAGAAAGAGTAGTTAGGAAAAGAGATGTGGATGAAATTGAAAGGTGAGAAAGATGATGAAAGAGGCACATGCAAGTTCACATGCATTGTTTGTGCAAAGCGATGAATGATTCATGCACCTGAAAATCCGAAGCTTCCCTTTGCGTTTGTGCCACTCAGCTCTGCAACAACAAGACAGGAACAGCAACTTAGAGCCTGGAAAACGCACCCACCAAACCCCACCTCTGCCCCCACTCCTTTCATTTCTCTTAGATTCTCAAAACCATAAAATCCAATTATCTAATCACACTCACTTCAAATACTGTTCTTATTACTATTACTGATTCATGATCGACAAAAAATATCAAGCATTTCTGATTTTATTCAAATGAAATTCATGAGGTTTCTTAGTGGTATCATAATCAATTTATCGTCAACTCTTGTATGAATATGCTGTCTTAAGACTTTTTCTCCATTAACATCAATTTTTAGATTGTTTACAGAGAACATAGACACAATATTTCTCTCAAACTTGTAATCCTTATTATGTCAAACGCTGCTTCTCATTCATGCTCCTTTCTGGTAACAAATTCAAGAAAAACATAAAGATATTGTTTGATGCTTGTTCTAAGTGTTGCATCACATAAAGAATATCATTTGAATATTCTATTTATCTTATCTTTCATTTTCTTTTTAACCCATTAACCAGTTTTCCATTTTTCAACCATGGATAAACATTCTGAGTCAGTTGTTTAAATAATATTGAAAGATACACGAAAAAAATACAAGGAATATTTTGAAAGAAAAGTCATGTTATCATATACTTGAATGATATGATAAATATATCTTTATAACAAAAAATAAAATAAATTAGTGATATAAGTAATAGTATAACAGTAGAAGAATGAAACTGTGTGGCAGAAACTGTAGTGTGAATGAAAAGTTGGAGAAATGCATTGTATTTGTCAGTCTGACAATGAATTTGTAGTTTTTCAAAACTCTGAAATAATATATAATATCTGAATTAAAAAAATTAATATAAATTTATAATATATAAATAAAAATTTATTTAGTTACTAAGTTAATTTTGTAAGATATTTCAAATTTAAATTTATTTATTTTATACAGCATAAGAATTTATTTTAATAAATTTATTGTATCAAACGTAGTCTGATTATTTATAAATATTTAGTGACATATATAATATAATATTATATATATATATATATATATATATATATATATATATATATATATATATATATATATATATATATATATATATATATATATATATATATATATATATATATATATATATATATATATATATATTTGTTTAATTTTCTTTCGCTGAGGTGATACTTGTAAACATAACTTTATTTTTTTAGAAATTGTTCTTACGTTATTTTTTTTCTATTTATTGTCTTTTGTATAAATTTATTTAATTTAACTGATTATATAAATGGAATTGATAGATTGTTATGACATGATTTTGTAGATGTTTATTTAGGAGATTTGATGAAAATATTAAAATTTATGTTAACCTAATGAAAATTGAGAAAATTGAAAAAGTAAGCAAATAAATTTGTAAATTAAATCAAACACAAATTAATAAAGAAATAAATATTATAATATATCATGTTTATTGATATATAATATACAATCATTAGTGTAATATTACAAAAAAATTATAATATTTTCCAATGTCGAGTATATTAGAATTATGTTATTTATGAATTATATAAATATTTTGCTATTTTAATATAAAATAAAAAATGACTTAAAACAATTGGTTAATCGTGAAGAAATAAACATTATTTAATTTTTATTTGCTTACAATTATTACAAGTATTTAAATTAAATAAAAATATATATAAGTTTATCATATGTGTGTGTGTGTAATGGTGGAGTAGAAGAAAAAAATAATTTGTGTGTAATGGTGGACTAGAAGAAAAAAAAAATTAGAGGAAGAAGAGAGGAAAGAGAAAGAGGAGGAAAGAGGCAATGAAAGTAGTGACAAATTCATTTATTTATGCTATTTAAGAAGAAGGAAATTGATAAATAAATATCTAATTTCGTCCCACTTATTTATTTATCTAGATTTATGTTCGGTTATGTATTATTTTATTTATTTATTTATTTATATTTATATTTAATTATATTTTTTATTTATGTTTCTTGATTTTAATATTTATTATTTTATTTTTCTTGTAATAAATAAATATGATAAGAATAATCTAAAAATTTTCTTAAAGAATAATAATGTTTATAATAGATAAATATAGAATGCAATTGTAGTTGGACGTGTAACTCTTCGGGTATGAATTTAAAAATATTTTATTATAGAAGTAATTTTAATAACATACACTTTATTATTTTATTAGTAAAATATTTAAATTCTACATACAAATTTATCAAGTTTTACTTCATAAAAAATAAAGTATTCTATTTTCTTTCTCTACACCTTCTCTCATTCTAAATCTCCATTTCTAAATCTCCATCTATTTATTTAAATATCAAAGTACATCATAAGACCCTAACAACAAGGTATACAACTATATTTGATCAATTTCTGAATAGAGTAAGTTCATATTTTGTCTTCTTTAGAGTTTTTTTGAGTAATACGTTACATGTGTGGTGTTGATAGTTTGTCTGTATCTTCTAAGGGATTTAGATGAATGTCTCTTTGGTTAGAATTATTAGAGTATGATCAAATCTTTGAAGTCAACTTTTTATGTGCAAATACTGTTTCTTATGTGAGTAGGAGTCTCTAGAAGCCGTGAAGCTTATGGTCTTTGTAGCTTATAGTCCAAAAGGAGTTAATTTATTTTAAAATTGAAACAATTGTTTGTATGATAAGTTGCTTTGGATGAGATATTGGAACTCATTGTTGTGTTATGAGCAACCCTTGTGATTCTGTGTTGTATTTGTATTTGGGAGATCTATTGAAATTGTTTAGATAAATCAAGTTGCACACTTTGTCCTATCTAAGGTATATTTTATACTAAACAAAGGTACTTTTGTTCTAAAAAGAAAGAGGAATGACCTAGATAGTTCAAGCAAAGAATTTGATGTTGTTATACTAGTTTTTGTTTTCTGATATACCATTGGGCGAGACCTTTGATAACGTTGGGTGTCAGTGAAAACATTTTTGAGTGAGATGTAGTTCTCATTTCTCGTTGGGTGAACTCAGCAAAATAAGCTTCTAGTGATTTGGGGCTATGAAAAAGAATTGTTGAGTGCTAGAGAAATCTATTTTGCAATGAGCATCAAGGGTCCTACTCTTGGAGCACTAAAGAAAACTATTTTTCAATAAATGCAATAATGTGAGATTGTTAGGTACTGTATTGAATAAAGGATCCTTGAAAAGATTATTATGAATTTACTAGATAATCTAATTCACATAAAAGATCATTGATAAGAGTTGATGGAGATTCCAATAGCGGGATTTGGTGTGAAAGATAACACTTTGATAAGTTACATTGAACTAACCATGTCATGTGGAGAGGACTTAGGTCCTAATATCTTTGGAGAGAGTAAATCTGAGTGATAATTGTCAAAATCTACTAAGTGTCCACATGATAATGTAAAATCTTTAATGATTAATTCAACACAATTCTTTCGAAGAAGTCATATGATGTGAGTCATTTGTAGTTGTATGATTTGAATGTAAATGATGAAGTTAAATTGTGCATATTAAATATGTTGTTTACTATTTTAAATATATTAACTTACCTTAGTCTTGTTGATGTTTCTATATGTTATAATCGTGTATTACATGGAAACAAATGATCCTATAAGTGGGAGTTCTAGCAATGAACGGCTGAGAGGGTATGGATGAATGCAAATAGCTATTGTATATGTATATATATCTCAGAATTATATTCCTTAAAATGAAATTTTGGTTCATAATATAAAGAATGTATGTGTTTCAATATTAATAACTCATTCTCATTAACATTGATGTTTCTTCTGCGTATGACATGTTTGGAATTGCATCGATATGATTTTATCATCTGAAAACGTGTTTTCAAACATCTATTTGCCTTATCTTGGTTTTTAAAATATAAAAATGGTCACAGTATTCGTCTTACAAATAAAGGAAAGATTTTAAAATAAGAAATACATCAATAATTTCAACTCTTTCATTTAGTGCATTTTGAGGAGGGAAATGGCGGAAGAGACAAGATTATGAAAATTTCATCATTACCTTAACATAAGAAGATGAGTCCAATTTGTCTGCTGACTTTTATATAGTACTTTTGATATACTAAAAAGATTTTTAATATATTTTAAAACATCAAAATTAGTTCTTATAATTGTATTTTAAAGACATAAGACACATCAGAGGACAATAAAAAAACTCAGGAGAGAATCAAATTGCATGGTGGATGTCCATGTGTAAAAAAAATAAGAAAGGGTTAAAAGCAAAAATCATAGCGAAAATGTAGTACAGAATGGGAGGAAGAACTGGATTGTTAGTGACAGAAGAATTTGATCTGTA